CCCCCCCCCCCCTCTCCAGTACCCCGCCCGAATTTCCGCGTCTGCCTCTGAACAGTAGTAGTCAACTATAAAACATGTCCTTTCATGTCCAACCGCCATATCCTGCAAGCTCAAGAACGCAAAAACATCGAAACGCCACTGTTAAAAATTCTGGTCTTGAATGATGTACTCGGTACTCGAACTGCTGTTACTTGGTCTGCGCCTTGACCGCCTCGATCCTTTCGCGGATTCCCGAAACATCCCCGAGGTAGCGGGCGGACAGCGGGGGGATAGCTTCCGGGTGTGTGATGGGCTTGAGGTCCTTGTCCAGCGTGAACACGAGCGGCACACCTGCAACAGACCAAAAGGTAGGGAGGGAAAGCGGAGAAACAGCGGGCAGTCAGTCACTCGAGTAGATGCTATAAATATTGGCTCCGGGCCATTATCCCTTTCGAGAGACGAAGCACAGGTCGTACTTCATCAAATAGATGAACAGCCAACATCCCACGCACTCGAGACGTGCCCACCACGCCCATCACATGAGTTATTCTTTGATGTACATACATTAACCTTTCCTTTGTGCGGTATTGTGGCAACCATGTCCCATCCAAGGGAGCGGGTGCTATCAGATTTGTGCGAACCGACCGGCCGTCTTTCTCATCAGAGTTGAGGTCGACCATTCGAAAAATGTGGTTTCGCTACCAGTGCGCGAAAGTGAAATGAGGAGGGAAAGGAACTATGCGGGGGGTGTTCTCCGTTGCTTGTATAGATCTGACCCCAACTGCGATTGACCATTGATTCGCTGGAGGCGGGGGGGCAGAGGAGCGAAAGCTCTGGTCTCGTACTCGACTGGATGGTGAGACTGCTGTGGTACAACCAGCGATGGCACATCATCTTCAGCATGGAGCGAACGGCTTTTGCATTGGCTTGCAGCAAGTGTACCCGAATGACTCCAAACCACCACGCTCCGAACGACTTTAATATGTAGAACGAGAGGCGCACTCAGCCTCACGCGACAGAGAAATAACAGAGAGACAGACGAGAAAGCGAGAGACACACACAGAAAGACCTGACAGAAAGACCTTGCCAGCTCACCGGTGGGGATGTCCAAGCCGACGATGTCCTCGTCGGATATCTCATCCAGGTGCTGGCACAGCCCGCGGATGGTGTTGCCGTGGGCCACGATAAGAATCCGCTTCCCGCTCTTGATGGCAGGGGCGATCTCGTTCTCCCACTCCACCAGGAAACGGTCCTTCGTCAACTGCAGCCAACGAGCAACGCGCACAAAACCAAGGCGGTCAAGCACAGCAACGGTACACGATGGTGATGAGGAGCAAACGTCTTGCTGACCCTGATACCCGCATGGGTTTGACGAGCTGCACGCGTTCCTCCAAGCGAAGGCCAACTAGATGACAGGAGACAGCCGCAGTTGGCGCGACTCAACCACTCCGTCGACATTGAAACTAGATGCTCCTCCAGGAACAGTAGACAGGATTTCTCCACCTCGACGAATACAGTCACAACAACAACAAATTGATCACGCACCTTGAGAGATTCCGCCCGCGGGAGGTCTGCCGGATCCACCCCAGCGTACTTGCGGTCGTACTGAGGAAGGTCATCGCTGTGAAAAAGGAATTGGGATTAAACGGATACGGTAACAATGGGGGTCTGAGTTCCAACGCTTGAGAAACGACAATCCTGAACACATTGATGGTTTCAAAGCAAGGTGGGAACAGATTGTGAGACAATGTCCCGGTTCGCGTGCCTGCGTCGACGTTCGAACACGTCATAGCCTCGAGAAGGTGGAGCTTATGACTGAGCCACCCAGCCGCCCTGTTATGGTCAAGGTCAGCATGAAGAGTATTAAGACAATCGCACGCGACATACCATGTTGGCGTTCACATACGACACGCGTTGACCTTAACTTTTCGCGCACGCGACCACGGAATTCGTTTCGCTTAATGTCTTGCTCTACCATCACCAATTCATTGTAGCGGGTGTTACGTGGACGTTCGAACTATATCTCCAAGTTACAGGAAGCGAACGCCAACAACAACAGCAACATGAACATGAAACGAGGAGGATATGTACCTATCGTCAGCGAGGAGAGGAGGCGGAGTGGTGTAGCTCCTGCGCCAGATCATGACCTGGTCCTTTCCGTGCTTCGCAACGGTCTCCTTCTTGTCCAAACCCTTGAGCATACCAAAAAAACACGAAACAAGGAGCGCAAGGTCAGAACGCCTTCGCTGTTACGACGTCGCGCGGTTCGGTCTCTAACGTGACGGGGGTCATTTCTACTTCGACTCACGCATTTGATGCTCCTTGCATTGTTCGCGAAAAACATACATCCTAGTTATTCGGTTAGTGTGGAATCCTGGCCAACACAGAACGTGGAGGTTCGGAGCAGAGAAGCGCACGAGGTCAGGACGGCTTTCAATGTGCAGACAACGGCAGCAACTAAAGCAGCAGCAGCAACAACAACAACAACCACAATCACAACGACAACAACGAGCTCAGGACGGCCTTACGAGCCTGTGCATTGGCAACAACAGCTGTAACCACAAACCACACCAGCTTTCTACAGTGTGATGAAGAACGAACGCACCTGGAGGGCACCGTAGTGTCTCTCGTTGAGGCGCCACGATCGGATCACCGGGATCCACATAAGGTCGGTCTTCTCGAGGATACACCACAGGGTGTTGATTGCTCGCTGTGCGCAACCAAAATAGGGTGCGAGGAGACAAGCCCCACAGAGGAAGTAGGGCAAAGCGGGGAGGACGCTTCAAACAACTTGGGCAACCAACCGTGACAAGAGACCTCAAGAAATGAAAGCAAGCGGTTGATGAACCTCGGTAAAAAAGGCACAACCCGAAGCCATCATCAATCACGTGAGTATTTCTTCCCGAACAAAAGACCGCGATCAGCCCAACAGAATTTCTTACCACAAGAACAGAAATCCTGCGGACAAGTCGCTCTCACTCTTCGCACAACCCTTGGGGGTCCGGGGTTAACAGTAACAACAGCAGCAGCAGCACAAACACCCGCGACCAATATCAACAACGAGTAGCACAAACCTTGAGCACCGAGCAGTTAACTGTAACAGCAGCACCACAAATAATTGCAGCGGCCGACAGCAACAAAAACAATAAAATCAAGTGGCACGAACCTTGAGCACTGACGTGTACGCGACGTCGAACGTCAAGCCCGACTCGGCGATGAGCTCGCCGGACTGGGCGGCCTCCTCCTTACCCTTGTCCGACAGAGGCACGTCCTTCCACCCCGTAAAACGATTCTCGTTGTTCCATGTACTCTCGCCGTGCCTTCATACAACAAAGAGAATGCAAAGAATATGTACTAAATCAAGTGGTCAAAGGTGTTGCCAGGTACTCTCGCCGTGCCTTCAAACCGGTTGACAGAAACAAACAACCGAGAGGATGCAAAGAAAAAGCACCACATCAAGTCGTTCGACACCATTGCCATCTTACGTACGAACTCCATGTTCGGCGTTCGACAATGTTGGCAACTGTGGTTGTAGCTAGGGGGGGGGTTGCGTTGGGTCGTGCTTTGCCCATTGCGTGGTTGCTGCGTATCGAACCGCACCCAGAAGGGGACGGTTGCTTCACCAGCATCTATCTTTAAACCACCAGGTAGGTGAGTGTTACGTGTGACGGTTCGCCTTTCGTGACGCTTGTCACCGTCATCTGGGCAAGTGAATCTTAAGAGAGGGTAAGAGGCTACAAACAGCGTTTGTGTCTGCATTTTGGGGTTGAGGTTTGCGCACCCGTGGCGTCGCTACAGGTCGGGCTGTTATAGGGTGAATTTGTGAATTTTCATAGTTGTGGTCGGAACCAGGTACGGGGGTTTAAAACCAGTAAAAACGTCCCCGACCGGGTAGACTCCGCGATACTGTTGCTATGAAAGAAGTTTGTTCCGACGACAAAGCAACAGAGTAACCTGGGTTGGCGTACCTAAGCATTAACATTGTCGTCGGAACAAACTTCTTTCATAGCAACAGTATCGCGTAGTCTACCCGGTCGGGGACGTTCTTACTCGTTTTTCACCCCCGTACCTGGTTCCGACCACAATCATGAACATAGTTGGTGCCGTGCCTCAACGCCGCACAAAGAAAAAGAAAACAAAAAAATGTGAGCATGTGCCATAAGTCACGTACGCCCAAAATACGTATTTGTACGAGAAATCACGCACGTCCGATTTTCATTTTCTAGCTAGACGAACTCCGAAGGCAGATGATACAGGTGTGTAAACTGGGTAAAGAACGCCAAAGGTGAAAAATTCATCGGGCAGAAAACCTACAACGTCCTCGAGAGACAAGCAGACTACTACTGCAACAAGCCTCACAAAAACAAGAGTGAGTGGAGGAGGTGGTGACCTTTCAAAAGGGGAAAGAGTGTCCCATCCGCCCAACATATCATCTGTCCAGGACGATTCCCTCTTTTCACAAGGGGAAAAAAAAAGAGAAAAGCCCCAAACATATAACGACAGAGTGGGGCTCAGAAACAATGTCGACGAGAACTAGAGAATACTAAACAGCAGAAACCTGATATGTACGTAACACCGAAAGAGAGCAATCGCGGGGGGGGGGGGGGGGGGGG